TTTCCCACTGTAATTCCTTTTGTTTTTATACTGCTTACGAGGACAGTTCCTGTCATATACTTTCATGAATATATTTAAAAATTGCTCATATGCTTTATCTAAGTCTTCCTCTCTGTAAACTGATTCCCAGTTTTGCCCCCTAAAATCCTCTTTTAGCCTCCTTACAGCATGTTCGTTCATCACCCTCCTATAAAAAAGATTTGTTTTTGGCCTTTCATTTCTAACATGGCAATCATAAACCAAAAATACTGGCAGATGATCACTAATATCATTTATAAGTAATCCACTACACTTTTTGCTATCAATATCATTACTAAATATATTATCTATTAGTGTTGCATGCTGGGTTGTTTTTGTAATTTTTGGGTATAAACTACATCTATATAATGTGTTAATAAACTCCTCAGTTGCTGTGTGCTTGTTAGGATTCAACAAATCTATATTAAAGTCACCACATATGAACATTAATTTATGACTTATTGACGAGTAATTTTCTTCCACCCAGTCATTAAATTGGCTGTACAAATGTACAAAGTATATCTCATTAAGGAGCAGTCTTAATTCTTATTTGCCTGCTTATAATACTTTAACTGTTTATTTTTCAAACATTTTCAAAAAGGATATAGACTATAGTTGCACTTTTATACTATTTTTATCAGGGTGGATCAGTAATAGCCTCCACTGAACATAAATCAAAAATCACACAGACAATGTGATCATCCAGTAAACACTTATGTAGATTAGAACTTGAACACACGAACACAGATACACACTCAAAATGGTGACCTCGGCTCACTGTCCTTGATAACACTGATAATAAGTGAAGGTTATGTACTGTTAGGGTGATTTTTATTCATTTTTTTTCTACCGCTTAGTCCCTGAACGGGGTCACGGGGGGGTGGGGTACACCCTGGACAGGTTGCCAATCCATCGCAGGGTTAACACATAGACGAACAACCACACACACGCACTCCAATGGGCAATTTAGAGACACCAATCAACCTAAGCTGCATGTCTTTGGACTGTGGGAGGAAGCCGGAGTACCCGGAGAGTACCCACGCAAGCACGGGGAGAACTTGCAAACTCCACACAGAAAGGTCCCAGGTGGGGCACAAACCCGGAACCTTCTCGCTGTGAGGCAACGGCTAACCACTGTGCCACTGTGCTGCCCACAGTACAAATATTTATATAATATCTAGGTACTTTCTGCACTTCATACACTTTCTCTCTTACTCTACTTACACAAGTTTACAACATGACCACATTAGTTTCCAGGAAAGAAGTCACTGGTGTGAAAATGCAAACATGGCGTCACATGCAAATAGCTGCTAAAGTGACTCATGCGATGAGGAAAAAATACAAATTAGTTTGTAAAGCACAAGAGAGTCAAATTTCCATTTCTAGAGCATCTGCCCAGAGATTGTAGCGTGAGCATTGTTTAGGTTTTCTTTACATTTGAGGTTAAAAGTTCAGACATAATCATTTTATGCAAGGTTTTATTAAAAGTAGCTTAAATCCAAATGACATAATTCATGAGTTAAAATAACACAAATTAGTTTTCATAATGCTACAGAAAAGTACTGTTTTCCTAAAAATGACCAATGCGACAAAAACATTTCTGTAACAGGAGACACCATTTATGTCATTTCCGAGTCCTTGTTTTTTTTTTTTTTTTTTATCTAAGTCAGCCTTTCTGTGTTTCAGCTTTACCACAATAGCAACATGTTCACTACATCTAGGGTCACCAGTAGTTACAACACTTTTACTGGTGCATTTTTCTATAAACCACGTGACTCAAAACCAAAAGTTCTATTGTAAAATCTAAATGGACGTGTTTTCTTGGAAATGTTATAAAGAAAAATTATAGTAATATTGACAGTAATATGACAATATGACTGGACATTAACCCTCAGTGGAATACCGGTAAATATACATTGTACAGATTATACAGATCCATACAGGTCTCTGTTTTTTTAAGTACTCTATTTTTATCTCGTTTCCTAAAGAACATTCCTTTGTCTGTTTGCATTGTTTATTTTGTTATACTATACATACTTATATTGGTATATTGTTTACTTGGCCTTTGCTATTGCTAAAGCTCGTTCGTCTGTCCGTTGTTTTACTATCACGGGCTGTCATTCTAGATAATTCATTCATAAGAGGTTTCTATTCAATGCTGTTTCCGTGAATTGCTGCTCTTTTCCACGGTATAAACAGGAACATTTGAAAAAACAAAAATGCAGTTCAGTCAGACCACGTTACCCATAATGCAGTGTGAGCAAAACTCGCCGCACCTTCACCGGGTGGAGCTTGTCAACGTGGGAACGTTTTGTAGATCCTGCTGGCTACTGGAGTGAAAACAGAAAGGGGGTGAGGCGATATGCGCATGGGGGTCGAAAAGGGAAGTAAGTTTTTAGCGTGTCGGCGCTCAGTTTTCGTGATTAGGGCGAGGCAGACTTGAGAGCGACAAATGCTTCACACGAATCTCAGCAACAGGGCACGGAGCGAAATGCCAGACAGTGCCTCGGGAGCGAAGCGCGAATAGTAACGTTACACCGCAACGCGTAAACATATTCGGGGGGGAAGAGAGAATGCGAATGGTACGAAGGTTCCGAAGTCAAGCAGAATGGAAACGATGTAGCGTCGCTGCGGTATTTCGTATAGCTAGAACTAACGTTAGAGTAGAGACTAGATAGCTAAGGAGCTAGCGGGGTAACTAACGTTAACGTACATGTAAAGTTCTCCCCCCGAGAAGCTGAAGCAGAGCCTGGAGGCGTCTGTTGAATGAGAGTCCACCAGCGTCGCAAAATCAAAGAGAAACAAGAAGATGCTTCGAAGACTGAACCGTTTGGTAAGTGTGCCTGGCACCAACACCGCACACACATGTTGTTAGCTTATGGCACCCAGATACTGGCGTTAGCTCGGTAACGTTAGAGTAACTAAGAAACCATCTAGCTTAAAACTAACTGTTACTTCACACAGCCTGACTTCACGAAACAGCTGTCGTCTCAGTTCATGGCTCTTAAGTAGTCAACCGGTTAAGACAGCCAGGAAGTCACGACAGATGCGAGCTGATGTTTGCTAAACTCGGCAATTAAACTGCACTTCAGGTCACACACGGGGCTCCCCACTATGTTAACGGAAGTTGAGCAAAACGCCCTGGTGTATATTTAAACCCTGGGGACGAAAGCCAAATTAAGAGAGCACTTTTAAGACGTATGCTGCTTTTTTCCTGGGGTCCTAAAATATGTAGTCTGTTTAAGGGCACAAAGACGTTTATTATCTTGGATTCTCAGAATAGATGAGCGTTTTTATTGACTAAAAATTACTTGATTAATGGGGAAAAATAATCACACTATTAATTGGTAATGAAAACAATCACCAGTTGCAGCAGTGGCTTTATCTGGACTTTTCTTTGCATCCAGCCACTGGATTTGTTCAGTACAGTGACTTGGTATTTTCTCAAACATGAACCGCTTTGACAACCTCCTTCACATTTGGTAAATTAAATGTGTACCCTTTTCACCTACTGGTTTCATTGCTTTTCTCATACATTAATCAGTCATGAGTAAGCTATGGTGAAAGTGGAGAATCCGCAAGGCTAAATGTTAAACTGCTTTTTTTATAATCCTCTTATGCACCAGTAACCTGTTGTCACCAGTGGACTGAATCTCCCACAGGTCATATGAGCAATATAGATGTGGACAGTGAATGAGGAGAAGCAGTATAATAATTGTATTGCCTGACCTCCCTCCTGGCCTCCGTCGAAGTGTTGCCAGGTCAGCCGATTTTCCTGCTCCTGGAGAGGATTGCTGCTGCAATTTCTCTTCTGTGTGAGCTGTAAATAATATTTTGTGCGGAGCAGTGAGCCACACTGTCATTGATGCACACAGTGCCATTATCTCAGGCTCTCTCTCTCTCTCTCTGCCTCCCGATTTCACACCGTTCTCCCTTTGCCCATTGGAGGTACTTGTGGATTGTGAAAGGGGAGAGTCACTGCTCATACCAAAAAGCACTGAGGAGGCTTCATGCACCTGACCTGACTCTCCTATTATGATGGTCTGCTAAATCCTGAGTATGACTTTGGAAAATCATTAAAGATGGCTGTGAGGCTGGGCTTTTTATAAGGGGAGGGCCGGCAGCTTCCAGGGGTTGTAACGCTCTTGACAGGAATGCAAAACCACACAGTTGCCTTTGATGTTCATTGAAGCCCTTGAAGGCAGCAGTATGTTCAGTGAGGTGAAGTCTGGCAGATAGCATTTGTGGTAGGAGCCCTGGATATGACTGGAAGAGAACAGCATCTCAGTATCTTTATTTTATGTTTTCTTTGCACCATGGTAATCAGTGGAACCCCCCCCCCCCCCTCATCCGCT